CATGCTATGGGGGTGTTTTTCAGCTGCAGGGACAGGACGACTGGTTGCAATCGAGGGAAGGATGAATGCGGCCAAGTACAGGGAAATCCTGGACGAAAACCTTCTTCGGAGCCGAAGGTTCACCTTCCAACAAGACAATGACCCTAAGCACACAACTAAAATAACGGAGTGGCTTCACAACAACTCCGTGACTGTTCTTGAATGGCCCAGCCAGAGCCCTGACTTAAACCCAATTGAGCATCTCTGGAGAGACCTGAAAATGGCTGTCCACCAACGTTTACCATCCAACCTGACAGAACTGGAGAGGATCTGCAAGGACGAATGGCAGAGGATCCCCAAATGCAGGTGTGAAAAACTTGTTGCACCATTCCCAAAAAGACTCATGGCTGTATTAGCTCAAAAGGGTGCTTCTACTAAATACTGAGCAAAGGGTCTGAATACTTATGACCATGTGATATCTCAGTTTTTCTTTTTTAATAAATCTGCAAAAACGTCAAAACTTTTCTGTCAATATGGGGTGCTGTGTGTACATTGAGGAAAAAAATGAACTTAAATGATTTTAGCATATGGCTGCAATATAACAAAGAGTGAAAAATTTAAGGGGGTCTGAATACTTTCCATACCCACTGTATGTTTTATTGTTTTTATTTTAATGTTGTTACGATTTTAGATTTGTATTGTATGTTAAGCACTTTGGTCAGCTGTGGCTGTGGTAAAGCGCTATATAAATAAAGTTGAGTTGAGACTGTAAGTGAGCCCTGATGTGGCCATAGTGCACAGCTGCACTGCTGAGCACTGAGCATATACAGAGACAAATCCAAGGGTCATCAACAGCTGCCCATTCATTGTCAATGGAGACCAAGTGCTGTCACTCAGTCCACCCTGCTGTGTGAGACAGGGACTGAAGGAGTCCAGCGAGGCAACAGCCCACAGCTGAAGATCTGCTCTATGCAGCGACAGCCAGGTGAGATTTTGAGCCAGGCTTAACACTGTTATTAAAGATGCATTGATCAATCGGTGCAGATCGGAAACAGGAGATTTTCAGTGTGATTGGCCTTGACTGGTAACCGTCAGATCACTCTGAAATATCCAATTCTGTGCCCGTCAGATTTAGAGGCACGACAGTTCATTTCGTGTCAAGCGAGACTCACGCTTGTCTACACAGGGCGCATGTTCCCTCATGCATTGCCAGTGCTTGGTGCAAAGCCAGTCTAGAGGTACCCAAGGTTCAACATTAAATGAAAATGAGCATGCCATGGGCTCTTTAAAGAGTTCTACCTGGATGTTAAAAAACAAAAAACATGAACAAGTGTCTCCCAGAGCTACAAACAACAGAGATCAAAAGTACAGGGACAATAGCCAGAGTGATGTTTTACAGTAGACTGTGACTACAGTTATTACAGCTGAATGCAAGTACAAATTCCATCAACTGAAACAGGGTCATTGATGAATCTTTCTTTTACAAACCTTTCTTTTGCTAGTAAAATTGAAGCTATAATTAAATATGCAAAACATAGAGAAAGTCCATTCTCATAACTTAAACTAACCTTACACTAAATAATACCTTTTAAAGACTGAGCACAGCACAAGGTACCAGGCTTAGGATTTGGCTGGGGCTGGAGAAAGGAAATTAGAAATGTAGGAGATGTTAGCATTACTTACTTGGAGAGGGACACTCCTCCTGCTTTTCCAATGAGCTCCTCATGGTGGAGGACAGCATCATTCCAAGGAATATCAAGGAATTTCAACAGCGTCCTCATCCATTTCTCAGGATGAAGGACCAACTGTTCATAGTGCACAGGTAGGCACTTATCAGCTGCATCCAGGCACTGAGTGTACATGGTTTCTATAGCCCGATTCCACTTGGTCAGGCAGTCCCGGTAGCTACCAAGGTCAAAGCCAGCAATGGTTACTTTCCGTGAGATCATGGAGTGGACTGAAGCACGCCCATCACGAATCATGAGTATAAACTTGGCATGGGGAAAGATCTTTGCCAAGTACAAAAGTGATTTCAGAGCAAAAGGGTCCTTGTTACACAGGAAGTTGGCAGGCTCACCATGTTTGACAATGATTTCCAGCAGGAAGGCCTGCATAGCGGCATCCAACACCTCATCTGTTACACCAGCCTCATCAAGGCGCATTTTCTCCCGACCTGAGCGGCTCCACATTTGTTTCATGGCTAGGATACGTGGGATGACACGGGTTTCTTCACCACAGCGTACCTCGGGGTGAGCATCCAGCATTGCTCGCATTAATGTGGTTCCACTGCGTGGCACACCACCAATGAAGATGAGTGGCATGTCTTTGCTGTAAAGAAAAGGTGTGCTGAGATTCTGGCCTGTTCGTAAGGTGGTCCGCATGCTGCCTCCCAGTGCTGACAGAGGCAGGACTCCAGCTGGCGAGTTGCGTTCCTCAATGCGATGGTGGCACTCCATGGCATGGCGGCCCAGGTAGAAGACAGTGACTGAGCTGATAACTAAGCAAGCTACCAGCAAGTTTTGTTTAAGCTTGCCAATCATGTTGTAGGCCGCACACAGGGGAGGACAATATCACCACAGGGGCAAATAAGGGGTAGGGATGGGGAAAAAGGAACTTAAGGGTAGTTAAGGTTCCCACCCCTTATGGTTGTTTGCTGTGAACCAGGCATGGACCAAGTTCCCTGGTGTACAGCAGGCGTGGAGTCCCCACCTCCATCAGGCTTACCTAGACTGTGGTACAAAACACAAAAGACATAATCTCTGATTATACACCAGTTCAACATTCATTGATCAAATTAATAACAAAACCTAATCATACCAATCATGTATCTGATTTTAAAATTACTAATTGTAATGACATCTCAAAGCAAATCTTCAAGAAAAAAAAACATCTGTCCTGGAGGGTGTTCAGCACATTGTCTTTAACAGGCATGGCTTTTGCTACTAGGCCAATATTAATGCAATTCTACTTTGCAGAGAACTTGAATCACAAAGTTGACACAGAACAGCTTTAAATACAATTATGACAATGGAGATGCCATTAGAAAAACTCAATGAACTCTGTCTCAGACATTTTATGTAGATTTAGTATAAAGAATTTTCTGCCAACAGAAAGATAAATGACTGACAAGACACTCAAAATGTAGAACAAATATATGTATTTATCCAAGGATAGCTGTTTAATAGCTGGATAATAAACTGGATGAACTCCACGCTCGGATTACATACAGGACTGCTCCCTGCTGTGTTTTTTGAAACATCACTGGGAAAAGAGACTCCCGATGTGGGTATAACTCTGGATAGTTACTCTGTGTTCAGACAGGATCGCAGCACCGCTGCTATTATGTCTGGGTACATGTTTGTGTGTAGTTATTGCTGTGTTTTATTTTTATTCTTTTCTTTCTTGCATTTTAGTGTGAAGCACTTTGTAAACCAGGTTTAGAAATAAACTTTTTATTGGTTGCTACAGCATGAAATCCAGATTTGGAATTGTAATGGGCTGAAATACATAAGAGAAATGAAACAGCAGTGTTTTACTTGTTACTTTAATATTAGGCTACCTAAACTGGATTTTTTTTTTTTTAAATATAGGAAAATGTAAGATATCTACAAATATTTTTCCTATTGACCTTTAGCAACAAATGTGAATTGCAGTAACACAGTATAGCATGTAGCTGGAGATAGGTGTGATAACATACATTTAAATAACTGGGGCTGGCTTTCTGAAACATGATTTCTGTAAACAGCCTAGGGGCTTAGGAAAACTTGAATTATCCAGCTACATTTTCTCCTGGGGGATTTTTTTTTTCCATCTGCACACAAACAGGATTGTAATCTGCATTTTACATATGAACACATACATTCAAAATTTTATTCAAGTCAAATTTATGTGTATAGCGCCAAATCACAACAAAAGTCATCTCAGGACTCTTTACAGTGTAAAGTCTAGACCTTATTATTATCACTATTATTACAGAGGAAAACCCAACAAATCCCCCTTGAGCAAGCACTTGGCAACAGTGGGGAGGAAAAACTCCCTTTAACAGAAGAAACCTCAGAGAGACCCTGGCTCTTGGTGGGTGGCCTTCTACCTCGACCGGTTGAAAGGAAGGGAGAGAGAGAGAGAGAGAGAACACACCACGGGAGACAGGATACACAGTTAGTGACGTGTAGTGGTGGCATATAGATACATGAAGAGAGAAGAGAAGAGAGGAGAGGAACTCGGAGCATCATGGAGCCCCCGGGCAGCCTAGGCCTATAGCAGCATAACTAAGGGAAGGCTCAGGGTCACCTGATCCAGCCCTAACTATAAGCTTTATCAAAAAGGAACGTCTTAAGTCTAATCTTAAAGGTAGAGAAGGTGTCTCCCTCCCAAACTGAGACTGGGAGCTGGTTCCCTAAGAGAGGAGCTTGATAGCTAAAGGTTATGCCTCCCATTCTATGTCTGTGGACTCTAGGAACCACAGGTAGACCTGCACTCTGAGAGCGAAGTGTTCTGTTAGCATGATAAGGCACTATAAGGTTTTTAAGATATGGTGGAGCCTTGTCATTAGTAGTTTTGTATGTTAGAAGGATTTTAAAGTATATTCTAGATTTTACAGGGAGCCAGTTGAGAGAAGCTAATATAGGAGAGATATGGTCTCTCTTGCTAGTTCTTGTCACTACTCTGGCTACTACATTTTGGATTAACTGTAGGCTTTTTAGGAAATTGTTGGGATATCCTGATAGTAAGGAGTTACAGCATTTGTTACCTCCAGCCTGGAGGTAACAAATGCATGGACCAGTTTTTCAGCATCACTTTGAGAGAGGATGTTCCTGATTTTGGCTATACTGCACAGGTGAAAGAAGGCAGTTCTAGAGACTTATTCCCCTCTGGGTTGCGATGACTGAGAAACTCTCCACTATCTTGAGCTGTAGAATCCCCCCATCCCTGTCACTCTGCCTGCTCGGTAATGTCACAGAAGTTGACCACCTACCAATTAAATATAAAAACCCACTTCTTATCTCTCTATCGCCAAGAAAACAATCTTTCTAAACTGGAAATCAAAAAATTCATTACACCTCAACCACTGGACCAACCTTCTTATAGAATATATCACACTAGAGAAAATATCATCCACCCATAAGAATAATATACCAACCTTCGCTGACACTTGGAATCCATTTCTAATCTCTTTTAACTTAAACCAGATACCTGAGGCCGAAGCCACGCACATTCCCACAAACTCCTAGAAATATAAGCTGCTTTTTACTTCATTATGCTTACTGTCACTAGTCCTCATGGTCCATGGTTCTGTTTGTATCAAACCAAATTAACTGAGAATATTACCTACCCCCCCTTTTCTCTTCTCCTCTTCGCTCTCTTTCTAATCATTTACTGATCTGTTGTGAGTATTAGATTAATTTTTTCTCTAATTGTTGTGATTTTATTTGTAAAGAAACTCATGAAGTCATTACTGCTGAGATCTAAGGGAGTATAAAGCTCAACAGCACTGTGGCTCTTTGTCAGCCTGGCTACAGTGCTGAAAAGAAACCTGGGGTTGTTCTTATTTTCCTCTAACAGTAACGAATAATATGCAGTCCTTCTCGTGAGCGTCCATGTCCTCGATCATCCCCTGTACATGGCTGGTCAGTGGCAGCCTTTGCTGGATGGCTGGATGATGTCACCATCTGATGCGGTGGAAGTTTAACCAGATCCAACTTCTTCACCAGAGGGTTGCATCATTTTGCTGGAGCCACCTGTCATGCTGGTGCTGGCTGCAATGAACGCAATCCACCATAGAAATGAATGGAGAGGGCTGTGTTTTTTAACACCCTTGGAACTCAGTCTGAAGCTCATGCATAGTTCATGCACAGGTCTACGGTCAGAAAAGCTTCTTGTGAAATTCTACATGGGAGAAGCCAGTCAGTTGAGTCTGTGGCAAAACCTTTTACACTACTTGTACACTATTGTCTTTTACTGCATGTGATAATTCATACTCAGAAAGTAGAACCGAAGTGACAGTCATTACAAGATGATCAGTTAAAACATTTCAAAATGCACCTGCAGTGTTTTGCATTGTGACTTTCATTTGAATAAAACACAATTTTTCAACTCATATTTGGTCATTGCAGGGCTCCAGACTAACATTTCATACAAGTCTCTTGGATGGTGGTACTAATGTTATTCAACAGAGGTGGTCCCACCTCTGTTTTAAAAAGTAATGCAGAAGACTGTTTTTTGTAAATTATTTTAAATACCCTTACCACTCAATGTGCACACCCTACAACATTGAGAGCAAAAGAGAGAAAAACTTATAGAAAACAATAAATGGGAAAAATCACTTCTAGAACAAGTTTCCACCTCTTTATATGTGTAGTCACTTTAGTGTTCTATATCCTATAGCAGTCAACATGATGATAATGATTACACTGATGATGTTGTCTGTTACATTTTAACTGAAGTATGAATTCTGCATATGGTTTGTGATTTAACCCATTTGCAGCCCATTTTTTTCTGAAGAGGAATTTGTGATTTTTGGCGGTCTACTTGATGCACAGTTCACCTCTCTCATTCTGGCTAGTAAAGTTACTAGTTAAAGAAGGACCTGATAGTGGGTTTCAGCCACTACTACAGTGTATATCTGTGACTTAAGTGTTTGATCCAAAGGACAGCGTGGTCTTCACCAGGCTGACAAACAGCATAAATGTACCTCACAAAAACAGTCTTCATGTAGACTCATCAGCAAGAAATCAGCAACATTTAAATGTTGGCTCAAAATGTAGTTAACTGATGCCTACAAAGCAAAGGAGGCATAAAAAGATAAAACTCTTTCAGCTTCAAATTTCTACTGTCTGAAAGGTTATTAAGAAATGGCAGTTGAGGGGAACTATGGAAGTCAAGACAAGATGCTAACAACCAAAAAACCTTTCAGATCAAACTGCTCAGAAAAATAAAAAGCTAATGCGGTTACTAATTACCGATTTAGTAAGGTGCCCAATAGGGCTGTAAAAATAAACCGGCACGAATAGAAACCCCCCCCATTCAGCTGGTAGTCCATCAGGTCCGGGTGATTTGTTATTTGGCATTGAAATCAATGCATTTTGGAGTTCATCGATGGTTAGAGGAGCGTCTAATGTCAGCTTGTTCTCTGGATAATGTTGGCAGTTCTAAATTGTCTAAGAAAATGTCTATTTCTGATTAATTTGGGTTGTAATTGGGGGAGTAAAGTTTACTTTAAAAGGCTTGAAATACATTATTAATATCTTTTGGATTATAGACAATTTTACCTCTAGGATAAAGTATGGATGGAATTAATGCTTTTTCCTTTTTTCGTTGTAATTGATTTGCCAGATAATTACCTATTTTGTTACTATACTGAAAGTGTTCATATTTGAGTTGTTGAATGAGAAACTGCTTTTTTGTATATAATATTTACAAGTTACATTTTTAGTTTGTTTATTTCATTTTGTGTTTGTTCACTAGGGTTTTGGGAATGTAAATATGTGAGTTGTTTTATTTTTTGTTCTAAGGTGCTTTCCAGTTCTAGTTGTTGCTTTTTCCTTGTATGAAGAGTATGATATTATTTTTCTTCTAATTACTGCTTTCCCTGTTTCACATAATAGTGAGGGTGAGAGTTGTTCATCCCCAGAAAGAATACCCACTCTTTTTCAATAAAGGTAATAAAATCTAAGTCCTGGAGTAATGATGTATTGAAGCACCATCTTCCAGAGTGTTTAGTATGGGCTTC